TCTTTTTTCCCATCATTATCAGTCACATCGCTGTACAAAAGTTTGTTTTACTGAAATACAACCGCTACCGCCCGCGCGTTGGCTCCAACGTGACTTTGAGACTTTTGCTGAGGGTGTTTCGTTTCGACCGCCGGTTGGCTATATTTGACCGGTGCTAACACTAAACATGAACAAACATTTCAGCTACAAACACTAGACTATTCACGCTTGCTTTGAGACTTTTGCTGAGGGACTGTTGTTTCGACCGCCGGTTGGCTATATTTGACCGGTGCTAACAATAAACATGAACAAACATTTCAGCTACAAACACTAGACTAATATATTCACGCTTGTGGAATAATATTTCGATCACCGGAGATCTGGGATACCAGGAAGATAGAACTATTCTTGGTGTGGTGGTTCAACGGAATACGGAACTACGGAATCTCCTATTTTGAACTGTGAGTCAAGATTTACTTGTATTTTTCTCTTTGTGACTTTGTATCCGGCTTATATCATTAATTTGTTCAGTTCACTAGAGACTCCATAGGGCCGTTAACCACTACGGAAGTAAATGCTGCTATGAGGAGATCCCGAAGAGGAACTTGCGTCTTGCTTCACAGATTTTGAACTATGGAAATGTTTTAGAATTTCAGAGTAATTCGTGAAAATTCTGTGGGCCCAGAAATCAGGGAGAATAGAGAGGAATTAAATAATTTCACAAGAATGAAGGGTGACATTTACCATTTGGAGAAATCATGACCAATTGAGAAAGAATACAGTGTAAAATTGTCCTGAATTATTGATTGTTTGTGGCTTTGGTGTTTCTTAAACTTTGTTCACGAAGATCACTTGCGGATATTTACTCGCATTACTGCTAGATGGACTCAGCGAAGCAGCCGAGGTCAGAAGCCTTTTTATTTCTTTTCCTGTAAGTCGGCTGCGTTAATTCCCGTTCCAGAAAATCAGAGGACAATGTACTGTCTTTTAGTTTGTGCTGATTTCTTCCTGTCCCAGGTGTTAAAAATATCATGTTCAAAACTGTCTCACGTGAAAGTAATGTTGGATTTATCAACAGATCCTGCGCTCTTCGTGGTGCATTACGACATCCGAAAGCCACAATGATTTCGGATGGCATCTCGCGCACCTCATGAAATCATTTGAAAGGCCTGGCTAGGGAACAATGGAAAACTGATTTGCCTGCCCCATAAGATTCGACTGGGTGCATGCGGTTTGTAGTTAACATGAAATTCAGAATCATCCTAGATTTAACCGTATTTGTATTTGACAATAAAATTTGGGGTTCGAAGCACTGAGGCAATTTGGAATGTAGAGGATGATTTGACTGAAATGGCATTCGCGCTTAAACCGACGCCTTTTCCCGAAAACATTTAGTCAGTTTGAAAGACTAAAAAATGTCTTGAGAGAATATAATAGTACTTTTAGTGTTGTTTCGAGTCTGTGTCCAACCAAGGTGGATGTCGTCGCTATGACCATTAATGTATTTTCTCACTGTTTGATTCTGAACATCATCAAGTAACGTGAGTATTCGTGACAGTAAATGTCCATAAAAGAGGAATAATCTTGAAGGACCACATAAATTGTTAACCATGGATTGGACAAGATGATTTGCTCTCTTATTTGACAAACTATTAGTGGCGATATCCGGAACTGATTTGTGCTCATCTCTTACCATGTCTCTGGTTTAAACAAAGATGAAGTCCCCTCACTGGCGAAAAGACAAACTCAAAATAACCAGAGTATTTTTTTTCGACTGCCTGTTTTAAGACATCTATCATCTATCTCTGTAGTCCATTTTTGCGGTACGGAACACGTTGAACGCCAATTTCTGCTGTCGCCAACGGGGTCAACCAAGTCTGTGCGGTACGTACAATACTAACGCTCGTCAAGCAAGCCCGGACACTAAGCCCGTTTTTACTGCTCAAAAGAAAACAATAGGTAAATGTGACACACAAATGTTTTAGGCCTCTATAACGTCATGTTTAGGTGGCCATTGTTTTTTTCACCAAGCATGCTTATTTCATTGCAGTTATTGCATCATTGGTCAGTGAGTCGTTGTGGGGTGAAGCAGTGCGGTGAGTTGGCGGGTGTGACTGATCGGTTGGCTAGGTGATTTGATTTGTCACCACCGCTGTTGCGTTCTGAGCGCGTCCCACGCTGATGCTATTTCGGTAGGACTTCTGCTTTTCGATTCGTCCAACTGACGATCAGTCTCAGTTACATGTTATCGCTGAACCCACCGCACGAAGTGGTGCGTAGGTTGCGTTCATTTCGACAGTCGTCTTGGCGTTCATGTTTACAAGGGTTCTTTCGCTTCTATTGTATTGCCATTTACCTCAATTCTGACTTTCTCCAAGTTAAATATATGCCTTTTCCGTCTACCCTCTGTGAAGATCAAGAACAATGGATCTCGGGTACGACTGTAGTCGAAACCGGATTGGTGAGCCGGTAAGTGTGTATCGATTACTTTCTGTTCGCACTTCTCAGACTGACTATCCGAAGTTTCGATAGGCCGTACAGGTTTCGGTGCATAATCAGTAGTGTAAGTACCGAGGGGTGCATTTCAACTGCTCCACGATATGGTATGCTTGTTTCTGGATAGGCTTGGAGCGTCCCCGTCCATTTACACTCAACTTCAGGCCAGAAAGCAGAAAAACCCGGCGAGAAATTCAACACAGCGTTTGCAATTTGGTACTTGTTGGAAAAACAACAGTCGAGGCAGAAATACTACATCGTTTTTCTCCGGGCCAAAGCTGGTCTGAAACTGAATAAAAGATTACAAGTTCTGGACATCACCCGAGGCCAATTCTTCTCCACGGCAAGGGAGATGCATATATCACGAGTTGCGTCATACGAGCATAAGGGATTTGCTTGGCTTAAACAGCAAAAAATATAGTTTGTTGGTTAAATTTGCGAAAAAATGGTTGGTGTACAACCCAAACGACAAAAGTGTATTGACATTCTTCACAAATGACGGATGAATACATTTGGACGGATCACAAAATGCGGTGTACCATTCAAGACAGAAAAGCTGTAAAAAATCTACATTTGATGAAGTGGGAATTTCGGAAATCTAGTTTCCTCTGCTTATGCATAGTTCGTATCACCTTGCGACAACCAAAATCACTCACTTTCCACGCTTCCGGCGATGATGCAACACCGTATCGGCTACGTTCAGACCAAGCTCCACCAGTTCAACAATGCAAACAAAAGTCAAACCAACCCAGATACTCAACAGTCCACCAATCTGGCTGAATAATGAAGTCAGCGACACCACAGCTTTTTCCTCCACTCGCTCAACGTCAAAATTCGGTCGAGAAATTACGATGGCAAGAAAATTGCGTTCAAAGATTTCGGTTGACATTAGTTTTTGAATCGCCTCGGCTTGTTTGCCCGCTCTGGTAAGGTTGAGAATTTCTTCGTAAGGTGATAACAATTCTTGCAATTCATCCAATGATTCTTGCACTCTGGCTTGTTCTGCTTCGGTCATGTGAGGTCTGCCACGAATGGTGGCGGTTGTGATTCGTTTCAGAAACTGAAACGGGAATGGAGCAGATCGTTAAATCTCAGACTGGAGTTGATGATTTTATCGATTTGTTCACTAGTGTTCAACTGTGCATGAAATCGAACGAGAGAGTTAAAGCACCACAGATGTCTCTTTCAGGTGTCAACTAAAGCTTATGCAGAATTAGACTAAGACGAGAATCAATACTTAGAAAAATACGGTTTCAGTTGGAACCGAAAATACCTATCGAACTCCTATTAGCAGAGTACTGTCCAATGACCTATTCCGACCGGTTTGGGCCCAGACATCCGTGCGATCGTCTTTAATAGTGTCCTTGCGTGTACGACAGTTCTCCAAAGAGGTAGAACTCTTCGCAGTTCTGTGGAATTTTTCCGCTCCGAAAAGTCGATATTAATGGTTCGAAACAACGTGGTACTAATCTATGCTCTTGAGCGACAATCAGGCATGGTCGTGGAGTCATACATTCTTCGCCGAATGGCAAGGGAACTGCGAGGATTTTGAGGTTTTCTGGTCAAGCTAGAGTCCCAAAAACTAAGAGGCCTGGGCAATCCAATTGGGATTTTGGAGCGGGCTCTCACGTCATATCCCATAATGGAACCCACTGTTTTGGAATTTTTATGTGACTCAGCGGGAACGAAACTTCAATAAAGGTTACATGACTTGAGTTCATTTTCCAGAGGGAAGCTGTGATACACTGTGGAAGTAGAAATTTTTGCATTTTATTACACTTGCTCGATTCGTCGGAAAACCCATGGAGTCAGACTAGTCAATCTACCGCATTTAAAAGTGAGTCGTAGGTGCTCTGCAGCGGAATTTAGTCTCCCACCTCATGCGACTAACAAATCAACTGCCTACTTAAATATTTATAGGTAGTCCAAAGTATATTGATGCTAACAATTCACAGGTTCCATGTTAATCTCTAATTCCTTGTTTGACTATCGAACCGATTTGAAGCCGGGTGCGCAGAGTCGAAAATTTTCAGGAAAGGACATGTCACTTATTAGTACGGATCAACAGGAAACAATTTCGCATTTAGACTGTTCTCGGATTTCGCCAGGTATCCACCGTACTGATCAGTTTATCTGTATAGAGGCATTATCCCTGTGGCCCAATGTCTTCCCAAATCTTCGTGTCATTATTTGTGTTTGGGAGAGTCTGATGCCTGATATTGTTGAGCAGGAACGATAATCTCGTCTGCTTGTTGAAATATCCCGTTTCTAAGTCTTGTTCTTCTCAAAACAATGGGGTAGGGTAATCTCTAAATTTTCCGAAGTAGAAATAAATGTCAGTGTATTCTAGCCACCTTGTGCTGAACCGTTCTTATTCCAAATCGACCGAGCCATCTCCGTGGTGCGCGTAGTTTCCCGCACACCAAGAACCTCCAAGTATAGGACCTAGGATCNTAGAAATAAATGTCAGTGTATTCTAGCCCCCTTGTGCGGAACCGTTCTTATTCCAAATCGACCGAGCCATCTCCGTGGTGCGCGTAGTTTCCCGCACACCAAGAACCTCCAAGTATAGGACCTAGGATCATTCGCTGGAGGGGCTCTACTCTCAGAGGCCAACTGAACGACTGTATTAGGTACGAGACACACTCTATCCAGCAATTTGCGCCCCCCAGCAGCATGTAAGTGAGGCTTTATTAAAGGTCATGCTAGAAATTATTCAGCAAATTGTAAACTAAACAACTGCTGCTGGATCTTATTCTGTTCTAATTTATTTATTTACGCGTTCCGATATCAGCGTGGATAAATTTAATTTCACTATTCACTAACGATAACAGCATTCCGAGAGATATTTTCAAATTTAGTCGAGTGACCCTCTGAAAGCCTATGTGGGGACAGCATCGCATACTTGTGAATACAACTTATGACCGCCAATATTTGATTCATCCTCGTCGATCAGCGCCTGGATGTTTGAACATCGCTAATTTAGACTGCAATTCACAGTAGATATCAGCTGGAACAAAGAGCGTGTTTTGATGCCGTTTCCCTCTCAACTTCAACACCAGTAAGCCCGACGGCATCTCGCACGTATCTTTATGAATTTTGTCTAAAGAGGTAGAGAAAACGCTATTTGGTTCTAGTTGGTCCCCAGCCGTGTGGATAAATAGTCTGGTGATGTACACCGAATTTCCCGGCAAAATCAACTGCTTGTTTTTGCCCTGATGTTCAGCTGTAATGGGAAATAGGATGTCTCCTGGATCTGGCAATTCAGAAATGTCAACGACCTACCGCTCTAAACTGTAGATTTGTGATCTTCCAGTATTGTGTATACAGCTGATATAGCGCAAATGCCGATAAGCTTGATAAGCGTGCTATTGTTGAACAAAGAACGCCAACCGACAGAATTGTGAGTTGTCGCTTAGTAACAAACTTCTCTATACAATTTGGTCAAGGCAAACGAATGTGTAAAATGCCTGGACGCTTCGCTCGTCAATGCAGGTAGACCGATTATTTTGTCCATAACTGTATCTCCTCATTTATTAGTCAGCCAGGCCTGTCGAGCTAGTCTGGTTGATTATTCAAAATTTCCAGGGAAGAACTATTAGGAGAACCAGCTTCGAACGTAACCGGACTACATAACAGCCAATGGAATAACCGTTTTCGTTGAGACAGGTTTGATTGGTTGTTCTTCACTCGTCCTTGACTGATGAGTTGTATTCTTGGTATCACTCTTTTGACCCGCTTGTACGCGACAGTGATCAATAGAGCAACTGGATCGCATGTTCATTGACTTTTCTGGTTTGGCCAAGCGCACCAGGCAATCAATCGGCTATCCAGTCCGGAGTTCACGGTAATAAGAAGGCTTTAAGGGGACCGGTCACAACAAAATCTATGAACGGATAATAAAGCGTATGACCGCAGAGTTCGGAAAGACAGCCAGCAGGTTATTAATACTAGAAATCATGTAGATGTCTCAAACTAAAAATAAAGTTTAAAACTTCTGAGCAGGCAGAAAGGCTTGTGTATTCTTGGATTGGTTTGGTCACTCTTGCACTTTTGGTCAGCACATATGAAGGTACACAGAGTGGTCCTAAAAGAGATTAGCCCAATAGGAAAGGGTCATATAAGAAATAACCTTTCACTCAGGGGAAGGCTTTACATTCAGTCATGGCTCATAGGCAGTGTCTTCATGGCTTAAGGGGGCAGAACTTGTTAATTTAGGTTTTATCTCTGTTGAGACTACTCCACCTATAGCAAAATAGGTTTCGTAATAGACCATGTTACACGAGTAATTATGGAGCAATATTTGTTACGGAAAAACTCCGTACGACGTGTGGCATATGTCAAGTTATTTGGTGCCTAGTGGGAGGTTGATTTGACAAAACACATATTTGGATCCCCCTCAAGTACGAATGTTCCAAGGAAGTCAGCGGTTTCATCCGTTGTCTGTCGATCCAGACACTCGCTTTTCTCAGCATGGCTTCATCTGCATGCCTGTGGGCGCTTGACAGTGTAATGGTTAGAAGCATGAAAGAAGCAACGAAAGCTTGCTGGCTATCAAACGAAAGCAGAAATTGGCTCTCTTGAGCTACACTCCTTATTTGACGAGTATCACCGGCATTTCCAGTCGGTGGAAAGCAAAATATCGCGATGAACCTGAGTCAAGGCAACCCAAGACTCGTCTACCATGGGTGAGGCAAATGTGACTTTGGGAATTCCAACAGTATATTTACTACACTTACTGGGACACGGTCATCATCAGTCTTTCTAAGAAGCTTCACCTGAGTTCTCGTTCGTGTTACCTGCACGCATGGTTATGAAGTAATCACTGGGTGGTTCGGTTGGCATTTTCAGTCGGGAAAGATCGATGTGTGATCGATCGTGTATCAACCCCTGTGCAATTAGGCTTCAAAGACTAGGCTTCTCTTCAATCGAACAGGATTAAACGTCCACCGAATTTTTCTAACTTGATATTCACACCATCTAACAAAATAACAGAATATCATTTCTCAGAACTTTACTACGCACAGATGTGATCAACTGCTCCAAATGTGGAACGCAGAACGTCATAAATTTGCCCATCTGACAAAGTACCCCTAGGCTACACATGAAACAAGGGTAACGTCTGTAGATCTCAGCGTCTAATTGGTCCTGTGAACTAGCTAGTTTAATAAACAAATGACCTAAAGATGAAACAACGCCAAAATTGGAAACTTACCTTAGTCACAAACCACGTAAGAAATGTTTTTGTTGGCCATTGGGCTGCAGTTATGCTGGGTCTGTAAGTGTACCGCACGCAAGCCGGCCGACAGCCAGTGGCTGAACTGTCAAGTTTTGTTAGAATCTCTTCAGCACAACGGGAAGATTGTACAAGACGTGCAATAGAGTCATTGTTGAAGTAACTTTGTTTCGTTGTGTTGAAATTGTTAGACAGATCGATTGTTGCTGGAAATCTGAACGCTTCGCATCTGTCTAGCTTTCTATCCAACAATTCAGTAGGAATTGGTAGAGACTGTGTGAGACAATTACAGGTTTGCACAACTTTGAGTTGTCGAACATGCTTGTGGCAGGCTTCTTCAGAATAACTGTAGTTGACATGATTGAAATTGATTGAAACCGGAGTGCTCGTACTGCATCGACCGTGAGGTGGTTCCATCATTGACCATTCGTAGACGCTGAATCGAATATCGGTCATGGTGCCGGGCATCAAATTGATCCCTTCTTCGGCCACTCTGGGATACGAAGCACGAGGATGAAGGAGTAGTCGAGCTCCGGTAAGTTGGCTGGCTCTGACACGTTCCTTTTGGAATGAAATGAAAAACGTTGGACGAATTTGATTGGAAGTTGAGAGTAGGTAAGCAGTGGGTTTTGTGGCTACTATATGGGTTGAAATTTGCTCGTTGATCTTCAAAGCGAGAATGACGTAAAAAAAGTGAATTATAATGCGGCTCTTACTGTCAGACTTGACCGTACACCTGAGTACCAAAACCTTATAGTTTACTCATCAGCTATTGTACTTTCCTCAAATAAGTACGTCACTGTCGTTACAAGTAGGTAAAATCAAATAAATACCTTGTAAATGGTATGTGAAATTCATGGTAAACATTCAGAAAAACGGAAAGAGAGTAGCAGGTCCCCGCGTCGGTGGGTCAAATGAATGACCTCGCTGTCAGAAGGATGTTTTGCAGATGAACTCAAAAAGTACATATTCACTTTCATGCTGAATAACTCTGTACCGACCATGGACGGCACAATCAAGACGAGTATCGATTCGGGAAACAACAGGAATCCAAATGAACGGCCCGCGTCTCTGCATCCCGAAGAAGAGAATACGAACTCTGAAAATAAATTGATCTGAGTAAAACCCGGTCCAACAAACTTGTCTCACACTGACTTCATTCGGTTGACTCTGCTATCCACTGTAGCTGTGTCTGCCTTCCATTTTTCCGTGAGAACTTACATACGATTTAAACGAGAACAGTGAAGACGCTCGGCACAGCCATGACGCAAAAGAGTTGTGGATGCGACAATGCATACTGGTCCGCATTAATCATGTAGAATTTGACTTGAGAAATAGTCGAAAGTAACCTCATTGATAGCGAAAGTCAAACAAAAATGGGAAATTCCGAAGAGCTTGCCACATTTCAGTAACCGCTTGATGTGTAAAAATTGAAGTTATGAAGATATTGCACGTTTTTCAGCGGATCCTGGCTAAATTACATGAACGGATCCATACAAACCATAGCTTATGGGATTGGTAAAGCGGTGGCCTTAGGCGGCTTATGTATGGTGCAGCACAGAAGCAAAAAAGAGGGTATCCATTATGCTTTTTGTGTGCAGGCGATTTCACTCTGGCATTTTCAAGAATAGTTGGTAGAATAACAGCTAAAATTGTACCGCGCATTTTCCATATCAGTATCATTCGAATATCCGACCTCGTGGTAAACCAAAGAGCTACATTAGCGGAAAAATCTTACAGATATGCGGTTTTTCTTTAGCAAAGATTGTTTCTTTTCTGCACTTGGTTGGCAAAGTGAATGCTAAACGTTTGAGCCGTTATAAGAGGGAGCATCGGGGCCATGATGCACAGCTAGGAGCCACCGAATTGCAACGGTTTTCTTTACTTGACTGCGAACGAGTAGCCCCCTTTTACTGGTAAAATCGACTACCCTGTGGGATTCTAAACTTCTGGTAAAACTGGACCGGTGAAGGTTGACATGATCTTCTCTCTCAGGCTTTGCCACCTGTCGGATCGCAGTATTTTTTTCGGTTCGAGAGTCTTAGCCTATCGTGGTCATCTTGGGACTCCATAACCTGCTGTTATCTTTCAAATGAGTTGGAGTCGTTTGAACAGCAATCGGTCGTCCGTCCGCCGTACCACCAATTTCAGTTTTGCATGATATGTTTCTGCAAAATGTTGAGCGCGAACCCAGGTCCAGCGTCGTCATCCGATTGCAAATAACCCATTTAAATCAAACAATAGAACACAACCCTCATTGATCGATGGTTAGTGGCAGGTGGTTGTATTGGTTGCAGAATTCACATTTACGAGACCATCGTCTAAGCAGTTCTCCTCCGTCCTCTCAAAATTATTCTAATGAGTCTGTAACGAACAGGGAATTCACGCAACTCAAGTTTCGCTCCTATTTCAGCTCACCAGTATATCCTTGGTTTTAAAGAGATCTGAACTTGAGACATTGGGAATATGAGGCGCACCTGCTACCAAAGTCACACCAGTGCACAAAAGAAGTGTGAATGTGAATTCTGCTAAGCCCGTACAAACTAAGAACTAATCAAAGTTGTTTACCAAGTTTCAAGCACCCGCGACACTACCTGAGTGGAAGGTCATATCAGGTGAGCAAATCAACCGTTACAACCATTTGAGCTTTAGGTCGTCCTTTTGGTGTCAGTTACATCACTGAAACTTGTAAACTCGTCCGTGATAATTCAGGTGTTCCCATCGCGCACGAATTGAACGGAGGTAACATGCTGGCCTAGCGTTTCACCTATCCGGAGGTATACCTCTGGCGCAGCCAAGGTTTGGTGCACGTTTTCACCGATGCCTTTACCATTCGTACCAGCAAAGTCACCAGATTCTTCAAGACTTGATGTAACCAATCATTTGGAGTGCATTACTTCCACTATATTCGTTGGGACATTCCACAGACACACTGACGAGAAAGAGACTGTGAAAGCGGAGTAATACGACAGGCTTGTCATAAAATGCTTCTGAATGTGTTCCTTTTTTTACACACACACAAACATTTAGTTGAGGACACAATTTAGATGTTGCAGAACCCTCAGCTTTCGAGAAAGAAAAGTTTCTGACTCTTCTACGAAGAGGAATGCCTTCAACAGTTACACTCGGTCAGATTTCCCTAGGTTCGGCCCTTGACTTATGCAAAAATACGTTTGCAGCACGTCCCATGGTCTCACAAAGCAGGTTTCATGACCTCATGACTATTGTTAGTTAAAAGACAGAGGAACATTCATGCCTGTGCTCTCTTAGAATACACCATTCAGAAGCAGAGTGGCTCGTTTGATCGCTCGTATTAGAGATCGTCTTCATTTTTCAGTGAGGCGTGACCATCAACATTTGTTCAAACCAGCTTATCCAGTGATGCCTAACTTGTAGGAATTCAGTACACAGGCAGCTGAAAATTGTCAGTCTTGTTCAGCTATCACTTGTGGGTTTTATCGCAATAGTCTGGACGGCGATTTCTTAGCCTAACTGAAGCCAATCCGTGCTGAAAAGCCTAGATACAAGTGTAAGTGTTTTGTGCTTGTTGGTAATCGTCGGTAGTGTGCATCTCACGAAACTACTGCAAATCTCTAACTCACAACCTTTTGGCTTGTAGTTGGACCATTCGGTCATGAGCGGCTGGTCAGCAGTTTGATCAGTACTCACTTAGACGGGACATACGGTCACTCATCTTTCAATCACAGAAACCACATCACGTGAACTGACAGGCTTCTCGAGCGACGATGTCTCAGATGTGAGTTTCACTCATATTGTCGTGATTCCTTCTCCGACCTTTGATCGATTTATAACTTTGTGGTAACCTAACAAATTGTGTTTCATAGTGGACTGATTAGGATTTCTCGGTCATAGCGACAGAGATGGCGACGTCCAAAGGACACGTAAGTATACTGTATGTTCTGAGTAAAAATACTAACAGGTAAGGCGAAATCAGCTGTGCTTATAAGGATGGGGCTAGCACAGCTAAACACTTACTTGCTTTGTACGGTTACTGTTAGTTCAATTGGTGACACAACGCTTGTAACGAACCTGCACACCAAGTGGAATAATGGATCTTCGAGTATGTAGCAAAACTCTATATGTATGAACTTATTATGTTGCTAGCAATAAGTTGCTCTAGTAGTGTTCCATCCGGTTGCTGTCAAACAACTCTTAAGAACATGACAGCGATGGTTCAAGCGGTAATTTACGATAACATACAATAAAACTCTTTGGGAGCGTAGGATCGCTGGGTCCCAACAGACTGGCCAACATCCTCTCGGTTCCGGAAATTAGGCATGCCCCATTTTCCCAGTGCTTTCCTCGTTCTCATGGAAACCGAGTTTCCGATTTAGCCTAGCAGTACCCACTGTTACGTGTGGTAAATTACCTCGTTCCCAATGCTAAAAGCAGACCGATGTAACGAATAGCCGCCCAGTAAAGCGGAGCTACAGCATAATAGAACGATCACACTAGTTGGACTGTTTTTGACCGGACACTGTTATTTAACTTATGCTATTAGTGAAAATCCTCTAAGTGGCATTCGGGAGAACTCGCCGGGCGAAACTGCCAATCAGTTTTGGTAGCCCTGTCGCTTCGCTAATTGACTGGTCGCCGATACAGCCAGAGAGCTGGTGTTATCCAGTACTTACTACACAGCCCACCAAAACATAGGCGCATTAGGTAAGCTTGACAGCCCAGGAGGGAAGTAGTGCGTATTGCGTCATGACGGAGATTGTTTTGCTGTCCAAACCCATCGCAACTGGCAGATTACACACACAGATTGATTTGCCTGACTATTCTCCGGCCTTTTTTTAAACCACACTTGGTTGGATGATCGTGTAAAAAAGACAGAAGTTCAGATAGAATTCCGTTGAGCCTTTCCAGATAGCCAATTTTGGCTCACGTAGTACACACAAGGTTGATGGAGACTCGGGGACCATTCTCCGAAAATGACAAAGCTGATCATCAGCTATCGAGCAAGTTTGAATAGTGTTATATCTGGACAATGCTCTGAGATATTTGGAACCAACTGAAACATGAGGCAACCCCTATGCAGCACATTTGGTTAAAGCATATATCATAAACGGAAGTTTTGAATAGGATCCAGTTGAGTCCGTCGTTCTAGCCAGATTAGTTTTCAAATGAGTGCAATTCACGAGCCATGTCCAAACTAGAATCAAGTAGAAAATAAGGTTCACGGAAATTTGATGAGCCACCGGAAGTGCACAACTGGCCCAGTGTTGTTAAATAGCGTTCACCAACATTATGAGCTCTGTGTTACAACAAGAAGACTGTTGGATTTCTACTGTGACAATAAAACTGTGATTATGAAAAAGAGTTTCCGAAAAAAACAGTGGTACACTGTCAGAAGTAAGCAAAGTCCTGATTTGGCACGGACTGTCCATGAAGAGAATTACCTTTCTATATACTCTATAAATTGTATGAATTCGTGATCTCACATTATGAACTTCTAGCCCCAGTAAATCACACATTCAAATTGCGATCGATTTCTGGTTTTACCACGTGCTCGTTCTGACCAAAAAACTCATAGGATAGGGAGCCGTGCAGCTGCAAGCAAACGTTAAAATACATCGATGACTACTTCAGCGGATCTCTGAAGAATTTCACTAGAAACTAAACAGGTTATAAATATCGCCCCAGAA